ATGTATAAATAAAGATAATGGGAACTATCAAGTAACCAAAACTTTAATATTTATTATACAGAATTATGTTTTTCCATTAACGCGTTTCGTCATACAGACTTCTTCAAAATGGAATGCAATACAATACCTGGCAAATAAGGTTTATATAGGCATGGTTCAATACAAAATTTGGCGCCAAAATTTCTTGGGGGAGGTATTTGGGGGGTGCTAACTAAGCTGCTAACTAAGAGGTTACACTACTAATTTGGACCTGATCAAATCGCAGCAATGTTGTTGAAGCTCAGTGCGCTGGCAATTGCTAAACCTGTCACAACACTAATTAACGAATCCTTAGTGTCTGGATATATACCCAAACTTTGGAAGACTGCGAAAGTAGTGCCTATCCATAAAAGTGGTGACACTACTCTGGTTTCTAACTATTACCCAATATCATTGCTCCCAGTATTGTCTAATCTTTAGAAAAATGCATCCATACGCAACTATATGAGTGTTACCAACATCTATCTGACCCCTGATCAATCAGGTTTTCACCAGAATCACTCCACTTAAAAGTTTGCAATGACATTCAAACTGGCATAGAACATGGAGACCTAACTGGAGCTATTTCTCTTGATTTTGCAAAGGACTCTGACATAGCAGACCACAACATTCTACTGCACAAACTCAAACTCAGGTATTGGAAACCTGGTTTCAGTCATATGTATCGGATCGATCGCAATATGTCCATTTCTGACAGCGACTCCATACCGCTCCCAGTCACATGTCATGTTCCCCAAGGTTCCATTCTCGGCACCCTACTATTCACGTTATTTATAAATGATCTGCCTAATGTCTGCAAATCCTCAAATGTACGCAGATGACACCGTAATTTATGCAAGCAAATCCAATCTACCTCCGCTTGAGGCTGTGCTCAAAGACCAGTTCAGAGGTAGAAAAAGATCGAAAAAAACAAACTCTTCCTAAACACTGACAAAACTGTCACAAGGATCTTTGGAACAGTACCTAAATTACACAAATTATAAAATTCCCATCTATTCATCAAATTCAAATGGCACAATGACCGCAGTCCACTCTTTCAAATACCTGGGTATGTTGTTAAACCTCAATCTATCTTTTGACCTCCACATAGAAGTGCATCTAAACTTTATCCAAAACTAGGTGCCCTGTACAGAAACAAATCCTGCCAGCTGATGCCAATCATTGATTATGGGGATGTAGTATATGCACCTGCACCGCAAACCCACCTTAATACATTGTATAACTCATTCTGCCGCTTTGTGCTACAATGTAATTACATGACCCACCATTGTGACATGCTAAAAGAACTAAACTGGCTGCTGGAATCCAGACGCAACTTTCATCTTTCCAGCCTTGTGTTTAAGAACTTTTCTGGGAAGCTTCCGTGCTACCTGAGCAAAATGCTCTCCATGGCTGTTCCCATCTCTTATAACCTCCTATCCAGTACCAACACTTTATTTAGTCTACCTCAATACAAAAAGAAATTGGCTTTTCCTACAGAGCACCGCAATTATGGCCTCCTGCACACGTTCAAATCTTCCACAGACCTAAAATACTTTTTAAGAGATTCATCTCTACATATCTCGAAAACATAATGTCATGGTTGATTTTATATACACCCTGTCCCAAATTATTATGCAAATGATATTTTTCTCATTTACCTAAATAATTGATGTAAATAACAGTTAGCATAATTCTCATGTTTTCAACTATTAAGAGTACAATTCATATTTTATTGAACAAACCTCCTAATTAGAGTTGAGTGGATACCTGGATGTTAGGACGAACTTTGGGGGGAAAAAAAAGTTCGGGCTCGAACTTAACCCTGAACCCGAACCCCATTGAAGTCAATGGGGACCCGAACTTTTGGCCACAAAAAAAACTCCTGGAAGCGCTAGAGAGCTGCAAAAGCAAGTAAAATTGCGATAAGAGTAGGACAAGTGCCCTGCAAACAAATGTGGATAGGGAAATCACTTAAAATAACATAAAAATAAAAAATACAGCTGAGCCATAAAATAGCACTAGATGGCATCTTTGCTTTTAGCTTTGGAAGAACATAAATCAAAATCTAAAGCATGGCTGTCAGGATCACCAGAATTATCCATTTGAGAGAGGGTTGAGGGCTCATTGTTCAAACTGAGCTCAACTCCTGATGCATGGAGACAAGGCCTTCACAAGCCTCTGCTATTGTGTACATAGTTTATACTATGTGACCCATAGGTTGAGGAGGAGGAAGCCAACACTGTGTGTGTGTGTGTATATATATTCTCTAATCTAGCTATCTAATCTATCCTATTTTAATTGGGATAGCCCCCAAAATATTGGGACATATAAAAAGACAACTCTGTTCCGCAGAGTAGCTGTTGACATTATAGTTGCGCAGGCACTTTGACTCTAGAGAACCTTTGGCAAATCGCACATCCCCGTGCATGTGGATGTCATCCATATCAACTTTCGAAGCCAGTTTCTGCGCCTTGGGTAACGGGGAATCAGGGTTCCATTCCGTACATGGACCCTGAGAAATGGCTACCACATGCAAGGAAGGCAGCAGGCGCGCAAATGACCCACTCCCGACGCGGGATGGTAGTGACGACAAATAACAATACAGAACTCTTTAGAGGCCCTGTAATTGTAATGAGTCCACTTGAAATCCTTTTAACTCTGATCAATTGGAGGGAAGTCTGGTGCAGAGCCACTGACCCATGCGTGATGCAGCTGAAACTCCACTATCGCCTGCTGCTGCTCGCACAGTCTCATGAGGCGGTGAGTAGCGCGAAGTTACGCTGCAGTGCAGACAGGCAAGCAGCAGCGTGGTGAGAACGCCAAAAGCCGCTAGAGTGAATGTCACATCCTGTTCCAAGTTGCGGATCAGTCTGGTGACGGCTTGTGGTATCCAGTACTCCTTTTACTGATGCTGCATCAGGGTCCTGGTATGTGGCCGCACAAACGCTGGTGCTCAACACCAGGGGGCGTGTGGTTACCCTGCACAAGGCCCTTCTAATCCATTCCACACTGTAACTCCTAACTTCAACATCAGGCATACTGGGTCCTGGTCATCTGACCTCCGCCCAGACAGTGTCTGGGTCCTGGACTGCCCACCTCGCTGTGAAACTACGACTGGATCGAACCCAAACTTTGCCTTTCGGGTTCGCTCAAGTCTATTATGGATCCTTTGATCGCTACATGTATTACTTGGATAACTGGTAATTTTCAAGCTAATACATGCCGAAGAGTGCTAGGGGACGGCCACTCCGCTTTTGCACCCTGCTTCCTCTTATGCTGTGCTGGTGCCTCTGTGCGACCAGTGCCTCTTCCTCCAAACTGCACGTCAGTCGCATGACCTTGATTCCATGTGGGGACGCAACTCCAGCTTATATATAGAGGCTGGGTCACATGCTGCACTGGCCAATCACAGCCATGCCATTAGTAAGCATGGCTGTGATGGCTTCTAAGGGCACACGAGTCAAACGCTTGCCCTGCAGCCTTTGAAAACAGCCATTAAATCGCTGAACACCAAATTCCAACCCGAACATACAGTGATATGTCCGTGTTTGGGTCCGGGGTCCAAAAAACCTAATGTTCGGTACGAACCCAAACTTTACAGTTCAGGTTCACTCAACTCTACTCCTGATAACATTGTATATTTTTTTTAAACCTAAACTTACAATGCACTGTTCCAGATTATTACGCACAGTAAGTTTCAAAACACTTTATAGGCTGAAAAGAACTGAAAATTGTAATTTGTTGTGTTTGCAGCATATTTACTGAGATCAAAAGCTATTTCAATCAAACTTATAACATTTTAACTTTTTAAACATTTTAACAGATCACATAAAATTTTTACATAGGGACCATTATTTGATAGCAGCTTCACAAGTCTTGAATCCATTGAACTTCTGAGTTTTTGGACAATTTCTGCTTGAATTTGTTTGCAAGATGTCAGAATAGCCTCCCAGAGCTGCTGTTTGGATGTAAACTGCCTCCCACCCTCATAGATCTTTTGCTTGTGGATGCTCCAAAGGTTCTCAATAGGATTGAGGTCAGGGGAGGATGGAGGCCACACCATGACTTTCTCTCCTTTTATCCCCATAGCAGCCATTGATGCAGAGGTATTCTTTGCAGCATGAGATGGTGCATTGTCATGCATGAAGATAGTTTTATTCCCTGTACCAGGGAAGAAAGTGGTCAGTCAGAAACTCCACTTAATTTGCAGACGTCATCTTTACACCTTCGGGGACCCTACAGGGGCCGACCAGCTCTTCCCATGATTCCGGCCCAAAACATGACTCCACCGCCTTGCTGATGTCGCAGCCTTGTTGGAACAGGGTGGCCGTCCAGCAACCATCCACTACTCCATCCATCTGGACCATCCAGGGTTGCACGGCACTCATCAGTGAACAGGACTGTTTGAAAATTAGTCTTCATGTATTTTTCTGCCCAATGCAGCCGTTTCTGCTTGTGAGCATTCATTAGTGTTTGCCGAATAGAAGGTTTATGCACAGTTGCAAGACTCTGGAGAACTCTACACCTTGATGTCCGTGGGACTCCAGAGGCACCAGCAGCTTCAAATATCGGTTTGCTGCTATGTAATGGTATTTTAGCAGCTGCTCTCTTGATCCGATGCATGGATCTGGCAGAAATTTTCCTCAATGTGCCTTTATCTGCACAAACCCGTCTGTGCTTCGAATCAGCCACAAATCTCTTAATAGTGCGATGATCACGCTTACGTTTTTGTGAAATCTGATGTTTTCATACCTCGTCCAAGGCATTGAACTATTTCACTCTTTTCGGCAGCAGAGAGATCCTTTTTCTTCCCCATATTGCATGAAAATGGTGCTCTGCTTAATAATGTGGAACACCCTCCTTTAGTAATTTTTCATTAAATTGGGCTCACCTGGCAATCTAATTATCACAGGTGTCTGAGATTTTCAGTGCTCAAAAGACCCTATTGTATCAATGCACTTTTTTATGGACCGAGGACAAACTTGAAAACTAGACATCTCAATGTATTCTTCCTGGTAAAATATTTTATAAATAAAATAAATGTTATTTTTGCAAGTATTTATCCAATTGCTGTTTACACATCTGTATGGACTCTGATAAAGCTACCTCTTCAGGCAGAGAATTTCATATCCTTATAGTTTTTACAGTAAAAAAAACTATCATTTTGCTTAGATTAAATTTACTTTTTTTTTTTTTTCAGCCTAAATGCGTGACCTTGTGTCCTATGTATACCCCTGTTTATGAATAGATTTACAGATACTGGTTTTGTACTGGCCCTGAATATATTTGTATAATATCATATACAATATCACCCTCTGAGTCACCGTTTTTCCAAACTAAAGAGCTTTGCATTTTTTTTTACTTTTCTTCATAACTGAAAATGCTCCATTCCTTTTATCAATTTTGTAGCTCGTCTCTGCACTTTTTCTAATGCCATGAAATCGTTCTCTAGAACAGGTGCCCAAAATTGAACAGCATATTTAAGGTGTGGTCTTACGTGCAATTTCTAAAGAGGCAATCAGGATCAGGGGATACGGCCTCAAAAACTGATAGGTTGCGGTAGGCCTCAACACTGCGGCGCACTTTATAGCCGATTTTACACTGCGCTGTGAAAGTGAGTATGCTGGCTCAAATATAGCTATCAATTTGCTTTGATTTATCACCAGTTAGTAGGAACTCAGGAGAATGTTAAGCTCCGCCACCCACATTGCATCATAGGGGTGGCGGAGCTTAACTGTGATGGAGATCCCTGTACCCTGCAGACTTCCTAGCTATCACCGGGACACAAGTAGTGATTCAGCCCCTAGCCACCTCTGCTTGGCTGTGGTCTCCCCATAGCTTCCCATCCTGGAATATGGTCCTGGGTACAGCTCCAAGTAATTATGCTCTTCTGCAGAGAGTATAGCTATCTCACCGAAGCACTAGCCGAGACTTAGTGAAGTAGAACTGCTTTAGTATACATTTTTTCTTTATTAAAATAGATTTTCTTTCCATTTCATTGTCAAAAAGATATTCATAAATACGTATACATACATTTGTGGTTACCAATATAAATACAATACTTAACACATACTGAATAGACATGACATAAACATTTAACAATACTTGGATGAAAGAAGAAAGACAAAAAACGACCAATATCTTTGCATATGTTAGAGAAAATTATTGAGTCAATTAAAACGTTCGTTGATCTTAGATATCAGGTTATCAAAGTGATGAATATGCTTTCTATCATTATTAGAATATGCAACTCCTCTTTCCATTTCAAGCTGGAACAATAATTGAGTTATAAATTGTTTTCTATCAGGTATAACAGTTTTTTTCCAAGTTCTTGCAATTAATATCTTCACTGCAATAAAAGAATGGATGGTCAATATTAATTGATCTTTCGGGAGTCTAACCCACTTAAGATGGAGTAAACCTATTTGTGGGCATTTTTTTATTTTAATATTAAGACTCTAGAAAACTGTATATTGAATCCCATAAGGTAGAAATTGGGCAACTCCACCAAATGTGTAACATATCTCCATCATGCTTTTGGCATTTCCAACATAAGGAAGAATTAGATGTAGATATTTTAGCTAATCTCGTTGGTACCAAGTACCACCTATGGAAAACTTTAAAAAAAAGTTTCGATTAAATTTAAACAATGTATGTTTTCTTAGTAATTTCATAGGTGTGCACCAATCCTTTTCAGTTAACATAATGTTAAGATCTTTTTCCCATTCTGTTTTTAGCTGTGGGATAAACATCTGAGTAAATTTGTCTAATCAAATCAATTGCAATAGAGCATATTTATTTTGGTTTTTTTTCTCAAAAATCTTATAAACCAAATTAATTTTACAGTCCTTTCTTAACAAAGAATCATTTAGAAATCCTCTTACTCATATAAGAAAATATCTCTGTATCGGAAAGATTCAATTTAGATTTAAAATTATTAAATGGCAACAAGTTATTATTTTGAAGGAGATCTTTAATATAAATCTTTCAGATCTCCATTTGGAGAGGTTTATATCTGTAATAGTTCTTTCAATAACTCATATATTTACTCCTTCAATTATCTTTGATCTCTTAAGTAATTTTTTAATTCGTTGCCATTCTTCGATAAGATGAGATACAATCATAGAATTAGCTTGCATTAAATGTATATTATAATTGGTCTTATCATCCCAGATTATAAGCGATAGATCTTTCTCTTTTATCTTTGTTGATTCAATCTGGTACCAAGATTGTTTTCTTGACTCAGAAATATAAAATTTATGTATATGGGAAATTATATTAGCACTATTTATATCTTTAATTAATGGAAAGGCCATTCCTCCTTGATTAATTTTCTTTGTTAAAACTTGAGATTTTATTCTTGGTGTTTTCCCTTTCCAAATAAAGTTAGATAATGAATGTTGGAGCATGTCCAACCAAGGTTTTGGAACTTTCGATGGAATCATATTGAACAAATATGTCCATTTGGGGATAACATATGCTTTTATTGTGTTAACTCTTCCCCACCAAGAAATTTCCAAAGGGCGCCATTCCCTTAGAACTTTATTGGTGTGTTTTTTAACATTTTTAGAAAATGAATCTCTACTATATTTCGAGGGTTCGCCGTAACCGTGATTCCTAAGTATTGGAACTCTTTTTTTAGTCCATTGAAAATTATATTTCTCTTGAAGAGAACCTAGAATATAAGAATTTATATTAATTGTTAAAGCTATAGTTTTATGAAAATGTATCTTATAATTTGACACATCCTCATAGTTTTTAATCTTTCATTAAATTAAAGAGGGAGATCTCAGGATTAGTGATGTCGCGAACCCGAAATTTTCGGTTGGCGAACGCGAACTTCCGCAAATGTTCGCGAACCGCCCGAAACGCCATTGACTTCAATGGGGAGGCGAATTTTAAAACACACAGGGACTCTTTCTGGCCACAATAGGGATGGAAAAGTTGTTTCAAGGGACTAACACCTGGACTGTGGCATGCCGGAGGGGGATCCATGGCAAAACTCCCATGGAAAATTACACAGTTGATACAGAGTCTGGTTTTAATCCATAAAGGGCAGAAATCATTCCTAAATCACAATCAATATGGATTGACACCTGACATATGATGGATTGACACCTGTCCTCAGAGCCCCTGATGCACACGGACACAGAGCAGAATAGAGACTGGTCCCCCAACATAGGGTCACTTGGCAGATATGGATTGACACCTGTCCTAAGGATCCCTGATGCACACTGACACAGAGCAGAATAGGGACTGTTCCCCCTACATCGGGTCACTTGGCAGATATGGATTGACACCTGTCCTAAGGTTCCCTGGTACACACTGACACAGAGCAGAATAGGGACTGGTCCTCCTACATCGGGTCACTTGGCAGATATGGATTGACACCTTGTTACAAACTGCTATTTGTAACGGGCCCTTTAAATGGCAAATTGCCCTGCTTCCCTGGGTTGTGGAGAAGCCTATTTGCCAGCCTCCTCCCGCTTGACTATGGCCCCTGGGAGATTGTGAAAATGTATGCACTTTTATTTGGTGTGTATGGCCCTTTAAGACTGTCGGTGGGCATATTGGGGCTTATGGACTTTTTATGTGACTGGTGCTGGCCCTTTAAACACCTTTTTTGGGACATCAGGAAGATTGGGACACTGCCCCTTTAAGGCCGTGTCCCCAGACTTGTTGGGGACACGGCCCCTTTAAGACGGTGTCCCCTGTGTTCCCAGACCTGGTGCAAACCCTTTGTGCCTGCCTTGCTATTTCCCACTTGGTTCAGTAAATGGGAAATTATTTCAGCTGCAGAGACTAAGTCCCATTCGGAAAATGTTCTTGCGGTCGGTCATAAAGGGACCTCCAG